AACGAACAAGGGCTACTTAGTCCTCATTGCCCTGCTAACAAAATACATTTTTTAAACTGTATTGGAACAAAATTCACCGTATTCGAGACGCCTTGTTTTGTTGTGATTTTTCGTGGTTGCGCTCTGTAGAGTATAATTTTTTACTTTCGATTGCTTTTCACACTTTCTTAATAATCGTTTTTATCCATCACTGTTTTTTCTAAGGAGTTACTAGAAATAATGGTCGTCTCGACCAACACAGGTCCAACAGTTTTTTTCCTGCTCTTCTACAAAAGTATGTCGCTCAAAGTGACGTCAGTTTGTAAAATACAGAACTAATAAATTACTCAACAAGACGAGCAGATGTTAAGGACAATGACATCTTTGAAGAAAGAAAAAACGACATGTTTTGGCTTATTGATAAGCTCACATAAGGCTGGTACAAACTTATTTCGGCCCACCTTCAGATTGTTTTGCTTTCCTCAGAATCACAGCCGGAATGCGTACCTCAGATCTTCGAAACTTGTTTCGTCTTCGAGGTCTAGCACGTGTGTGTCGATAACGAAACCCAGATGGGTCGGTTATGTAGTAAGAAGGGCACATGAAGGAGGCTACGAAGTAACTTCTAGAGGATGCAAGAATTTCCTCAGGAAACCACCTTCTACACGATAAGTGAGGTGTTCTCGAATCACGTCAGCCATCTGAATGCACAGATGAAATTGAGTAACAGATGCAGGACGATTACTCGAGAAGAATGCAATTCAAAGATGGGCTAGAAGGCGTGCGAACGGTAGAAGGGGCCATCCAAGTATTCGAGTAGCAATGTGATTGTAATAATAATAATTTGGGCTAGTGTAGCGAAGTGGTTAAAGGTGCGTTGTAGTAGGTCCGTGAGATCGCTGCTTCAATCTCGCGCATGGGCAGAACAAGCCTTTCAACCATCTTGAGCCCATTAATTAGTAACAGAGTCGTATAGAGGGATAATAACAATGAGATCATATGCTAATAGGCCTCGAAAAGTTTTATTGAGGAAATGTACATACGATCACTTCTGCTGTGCAACGAATCGAGTCAAATGCATAGCGCAACGCTGAGAGATTGTTTAACGCTGCACCTTATTAAAGTATAAAAGGATAAAGCTCTCGGCGCTGATCGATGCCTCAGAGAGGCGCCATGCATCCGACTTCACTAAGCACGTTTGGAGGTGACTGAATGCATATCTGGCCTTTACGATGACTCGCAGTGGCCTACCGATGTATCGAACGAATGGTGCTATTCTGCCAGACAAGTCTGGTGCCAATTTGCCGCCCCCAGACGGATGGAAGCTTTGGCGGGCCATAGGCGTGGGAATCGATTCCACTTGTGTGTTGCATGGCGCTGCGACCACTGCGCCACACGCGCCCACCACCTTATACGCTTTAGTAATAATTGTAAATAAAAAAGCTAATAACAATGATAATGAAAGTGGTAAGAACGATAATAAGCAGGCTGTGGCAGTGAGTATGCAAGAAAATAAATAATTCCACGAGATTAATGAAGATTTCAGCAGTAATATTGCTATTGACTGGCTTTTTCGCTCAGTAATTGAGCGCTTTCATTATATGACACCAATTCCATTTTTATTAGAAAAAATTGTGGGAAAAAAGAACATTGCGAGATTTCATGTCTAAGAGCGATATTGCCTGTCACCTATCAAACAGCTGCTGGACCAATAGGCCGACTCGAGACGAGTGACTGACCCGTACGAATTTTTTGAGGCTGCAGTGTTCCCATATTATTCGGCTTTTCTGAATTCCAATAACAGTAATTGATAAGAGCGAAAGCTAATAACAACACTTGAGTAAATAACACCAGTAATCGCGGTACATCTGTAGTCAACTCATTCGCTCGTTTCAACTACCACGCTCTCAAGAAAATGTTAGATGTGTTTTCTGATCGCTTTAAAAGCATTCTCTGATTTTCTTCAATCCATCTTTATGGAAAACTACAACGAATAAACAGAACATGCATAATCGATCGTGGGCTCCTAGTTGCTAACTGAAATTAAAATTCTATGCAAATGGTCTAGTAATTCAGGTCTTCAGCACATTTTTCATTCGTCTCTTTGCCTAGCGATCGTTGTCCGTAGCTGTGGCCTTCAGAAGGAGTGACATTCGGAAGGAAAATCCCGTCATCCATTAATCATTTCCATCTACGCATTTAGGTGACTGGTTTGAGCCATGAATACTTCATCTCATCGTGTAGATTCCATATAGCTATTCCTAGGTGTTCCATATATAGCTATTCCAGAGGACGTCTGCTTCATCTTGGGGTCCATTCCACTGTTCTTTCCGTTCACCTGTAGTCTGTTTCTGTCATTGAATGAGCAGCCCCTCTGTGTTTCGTTATCGCTGTATATTCTCTTGGATTTCCATAATTCTAGTCTTAGAAAACCTGAGCTCTATCCAGTTGTCGTTGAAGACGGCCATGTGTTACAAGGCGTCTTTGAAGCTCTCTGTGGAGGGATGCACAGAACTGTTGGCGTGTTGAAGCACCAGAGCACGTTTCCGTTCTATAACAAGGCACTGAAAGAACCCTTGACTGAAGTAAGGGCAGAGTTTCGAGTTCATTGGTTTATCGGTGGCTTCTCTGAGCATCCGTATTGCGACCAATGTTGTCCTCCTTCCTCTGTATGATTCATTTTTAATCTGAGTAGAAGTAATAGAAATCACATAATAAGCAACAACATAAGCTATGTGCTTAAAAAAGTCAATGTAACTTCACACTGGTAAATTAGGTCCTCTTCTATCAGTCACTCTACCTCCACAAATGTTCCAGTTATGAAAAATAAAGACTTCCTGGAATTGTTATGGACAAATGAAAGAGAGATTTGCTGATTATTAGCGATACTCGTTATCAGTTCGATAAGCCTTCTGTTAAATAGTTGCGTCGTTGTAGTTCGCGTAGCCACAACGTTTAGCCCTCAAAATATTAAATGAACTTTAAGAAAACCATATTAGTAATAAATTAAACGAAAAAAAATCCTGGAAAATTCCGATTTTCCAATTTGATATAGTTTCTACTTCTCCAACAACTACTGATAATTCTTTAACTATGGTGATTCAGAAAAAGAAACGAGGTTAGAAGAGACCTTGTAGAACTTTCAATTCCTAGAGTCTGTCAGAGTTCGAGTTTTTAGGAATAAAGCTTGAACGGCAATCAAAGAAAACAAAAATTCGCCGCAGGACACTCTTGGACGTTTTGTTGGACGAAATTATTTCCCATGATCTTCTTGCATTCAATCAGTCCTTCCTTCGAAATAAAAGTCTTGATGATTTAAAGAGAAGCGCTAAAGTGTACTTTTCGTGGAAAAAATCGGAATTTTATCTAAGTGGGATGAGGAATCTTGTGTTTTATTCGCGAAAATCTTCGAATTGTACGAAGATTTTTTTCGATTCATAAAGTTTCTTATGAATTGAGACTGAGCTGAAACTCGCTGTCAAAGTTGTAAGACAGCAAATGTCCTCGGACGCTGTCCTGCATTGAATTCAAGCATACGATTGCATAGAGTATGCCTAATTGGCGACGCTGATCGTAATTATTACGAAGCTTTTATGAAAATCCTATGCTTTGAATAACTCGTTGAGAAATAAATGTATGTTTAACATAAGGCTCTAATGCATTCAATATTTTAAGCTAACACCTGTGTAACTTTTAATCCCATTAATCATCGAGTAAAACGTTGTCGTAATCGTTGTGTAGGGGCGGGTAGAGCGTGGTAGTTAGAGGTGTACTGCAATCGTCCTTACTTCTCCATCCTTCCGATGTGGGAAAATTGGTCCTAGACCTGACTGGCAGGATAAAAACATCGTCCTGATTTATCGCTATTGCGCCGAAAGTTATTGTATAAGTTAAATAAGCATTCAATCATCTCTACGATGCTTAATGCAGTCGAATGCGTGCCGCATTCATGAAGAGAATCATCAACTCCGGGAGCTTTATCCTTTTATCCTTGTTGTCCACCAGTGTTACTCATTGAGCGCTTTGCTCGCTCAGAGGACACGTTAAGATTCACACACTTTTCGTATGAAACGCCTCTCGCCATGTTCGCAAAACTATTTGGCATTAAAACTTAAGATTTTCTCAAGGCCTTTCAACACCCCGTCGTCAAGACTTTTGTCTATGGGTTTCCCAATTAACAAAATCGAATAATGTGCTGATTATTACATATTCATGCCGTTTATATGTGCTTGGTCTCATTGTTTAACCTTATGCCCTCGTCTCTCGATAAGCTAACTAGTTTTCCGGAGAAATTTTTCTAGAAACTGGAACTAGAAAACGTGGGAAGAATGCCCTCAAAATTTAAGGCTACGGTGTTAATGAAAACATCAATAGTTCTTCTCTTTCCTATCCTACCATATCTATACTAATTCGCCTACTCCTGAGCTGTTAGTACTACAATTATAACCTTGAGAAATAGAATCATGTTTAATAAGTTTATATGTTTAAGTATAAATGTATTTTGTGAGCTCTATGCGAGCGGTTCCTAGCAATCTGTGCCATCTTAGAATATGGCACTACTCGACAGCATTTCTGAACTCTAATCAGAAATTCTTAAAAAAGCTAATTGATGGCAGTATCTGGAGTGAACAGTAAACAGTAAGTATAAGGAGGACGAAATCCGTTCAAATCAATTCGAATGAGAACGATTTTGGTTTCAAAAGAAATGAAACGATAGGATACGCTATGGCTTCACATATCATACGATAGGTTAAACTCTCGTATTCGTCGTAATTCCTAATTATCACATATTAGCGTTTAAGAGATTAATGAAGCTAATCGATTTGTATTAAATGTATGAAGAGATCTTTCCACTCAATGTCATCTACTTTTTCTATAGTCTTCACTATTATTCACCATCCACTGGAATCTTCATCATTATTTTCTCCTTTTACTGAACTCATCACATGAAGCACTAGCAATCATGCACAGACCCACTTATCACATATCTAGAAGGACATTTCATGCAGCTGATGAGAAAAATGTTTGAGAAAAAGAAAGAAGCACAGCCTTATTTCGGCACATCGTTAGTGGGCTTTTCACGTATACGGTAATATGGTTCCATACTTTCACTGATTGAGTTTTAGCGAGCCGTTTCCACACCGTACTTCGGGATTTGGATATTTTCTAAGCATTCTTTTTTAGATTACAAATCACACAAGTTTTTCGTTGTCAGATTATGTTCCCTTGTTGTGAAAGTAATAGCTATTAACCAGGAAAGCTGAACAATTAATAAGCTTGGTAAATTTCAGCTCAAGTACTCAGCTTTCAGCTTTTCCTTTACGTAATTTCGCTGTTGATCAGGGTTTGAGCGTCGTAACTGCGCGTTGTTCCGCCTTGTAAGGTAATTTTCCTCTCATGAAACGTCAGCTTTCAGATCACTCACATTATAGGGATGATTCACTGAAAAATGACTTAGAGCCGTCACAAATTCTATTTTTCCTCTTTCATATTTTTTATAGCGTTTTAAAATGTTCTAGAGGATCGCGTGGGTATAGCGGTGGTAGTGATGCTGTCTAGAAAACAAATGGCTCTTATTCAACCTACAAACATGTAAATCCATTTTTTCGATCTGGTATTGCTACCAGACTTGTTTGAGAAAAACTGCACCCGGTTCGTTGTGGCTGATGGCTGCGTATGGTCAAAATCTGGGAACGCATTAATAAATTCATAGAAAAGACATCCAGATCCAGATCCGAAGGCTTTCTTGGATTACGAAGTACCAGGGAACTAATCGAATGCAAGTGTAAGGAACCATATTACGTGTGCCGTCGGTTCGTGCAAAAAATTCTAGTGAGTCGAAAGGTATCAACGTTTTGAAATAGGTTGTAAGCAGAGTATACAAGAAAGTTCACCACGTATAGGATAGTATCGGTAGGCTAATATCGACTTTTCATGCTAGAAGAAGTCGTTGAGATTACGTTATTGCGAACAATTCATTAGATGGGTGAGATAACACGAGGCTGGTGCAAAACTTTTATTCGGTCAGTGTTTCGACACCTTTACCATCCTCAGAGTCATGCTAACTCGAGACGACGGTCCACAGCTGGTCATTGTCGGAATTTCGGGACTCGCAGATGCATTCAATGGAGTCACCACCCGAATGGGAAACTTCTCTCAGTGATGCCCTTTTATGCAGAACGAAAGTCGGCCGACAACCGCCATCCGATATGATCTCCAGTTTGGCGAGTAGTGCGTGTTGTAGCATTCGGTACCGCATTTTTTCTCATGTTGAGTGCCAGTGTCTTAAAAACAGGCTTTAATTGAACCTCAATAACAGTCCTCAATAATTCTCTACATGTTTGAGATAAGGCGACAGCAACTAGCTCTGGATCATCGACATGGATCAACGCAGCTCTGTGGATGGCGAAGGCGCCGAAGCGTTAGCCGAATAAAATTTTTATGCTAACCCCGTGCTAACTAAATCACGTAGAGAATTCGCAATATATAACTTTCTATTTACTGCCAAAGTGATGCTGAGATATTTGCAACACTCAAGCCTCAGGCCGAACTCGAGAGCGCGATTACTCTATCTATCCCGGAGCTCATTAGTGACCCGCTGCACCACTGAGGCCCTTGTTTTGCACTTTTCAGGACCTGGTCTGGGGTCTGAGTTATGCAAATATCTCGGCCTCTTTGTTGTTCTATTTCATTAGAAAATTAGTGATTAAGATTATTAAGATTCACCGAGAGTCGGTTTTTAAAACACATTATTTTGAACTGCCACGACCGACTTTCTATTAACATTATTATGACTACAAATCTTTGTGATTAACTTGGTGCTTTTTTTTCTCTGTTATAGTTGAATCGGTTTTTAATCCTGTGCGATCTGTTTCTGATAGACTGATTTCCATAAAAACAGACGACAGATCAAGAAGGTGAAACGTTAGCTTCTGGTGTGCAAATGCTATCTCGTCAAATTCTACTGATAAAGCGCGTTTTCATTTACTTCCCGATGACGAATTTGACGATAAACGCTTATGAATCCTAAAAAAAACCTTAGCAAATGTAGAAATATTGCAGGTCCATGTCTATCTACCATTTGAGGTGATGATCGTTGCCTTTCTATCAGTAGCGGTAAATCTCGCGTACTCAGAAGAACTACGGTGAGAACTTAATATGATAATATATATGAATGTAAAATTCACTGTTTTTCTTGAAGAGCAAAACGAGGTTGTTATTACAGCAGCTTTCTATGCACAATAGCTGTCGTTCCTGCGGTCTCGTTTTCTTTAGAGCCTGGAAAAGTCATGCAATTGATATGCAATCTACTCAAACAAACACTTTCATAACCTCAGCAGACAAAACTTAGTATGTAAGCTTTCATTCGCATAATGCACAGCTTTCTTTTAAACAACCACCGTTTTGTTCTTTGTAAGCCTTCAATTATTTGTTGGAGGCCAGCTGCACAGAGTGTTGCAGCATGGGAGAGGAATGTGCCTGGCTCAGGTCAAGGGAGCAGCCCAAGGCATGGCACCATGTCACGCGTGGTGAGAAGACACCCCTCATTGTCGTCCATCTTTGGTTTTCTTGAATTTGTGACTAAAAATAAAATAAAATAGTAAAACAAGTTCTAAAAATAAACCGCAAGGATGAGTGCCTTGTGATCATGCGTCATCTCGCGCAGTATCTCAGGCTGATTCCTTGGCCTGAACCAGCCACACTCCTCGTCCATGACACTCTGTGGGTTGGTTCCACCAGATAACTGTAAAACTTACGAGAAACAAAACGGTGGGTGTTTAAAAAAGCTGTTTATTATGTGAATGCAAATTTAATAAGTCTTATCTGCTAAGGTTATGAAAGTGTTCGACTAAGTAGATTTCATGGCAATTTGACCTTTCCAGACTCTGAAGAAAGCGAAACCGCTGAAACGTCAGCTGTTGTGTACTAATAAATTCTGTGATAGCAACCTCGTGTTTGCTCATCAAGAAAAGCAGCGGATTATTGATGAATGCCGAGGTTAAAAGAAAGTTTCTCTTGAGATTTGCTGTATGAATATATTTAACACATCGAAGACAGTGGTTACTTATTGACTAATCTCGACAATTAAGGGTTGTGAATCTATCGTAGTAACAAAAGAGACTTTTCGCCGTCGCTCCTCCATTGTACATCAACTTCCTAAACGCGGTTTTAAGTCGAAATTTGGTCAAAAGGAAATAAATAATACTTTATTCTCTTCTAAAATTTGGTTAAAATTGAAAATTTTAAACGAGCTCAGGTCTACGAAATTTTCGAAATAACTATGGAAGCTATTGTCGGGAGATCACTGTGTAATGCTTGATGATATTCAGTTTGTTCAATCACTTCGCTGTTCGGATGGAGCCTTTACGAAAAGACACAGGAAATGAAGGCTTTAGAAGACTAGATCTCCATTGGAGTGGAATTAAAAGCCTTGAATTTTGTTGGCAAAGCTTTGTATACTCCACTGGACTTCGTTTAACAGCACAAATAAGAGCATGTATGCATTGAAATAAATGCATTCAGCCGCAAATATGTTAAAATACAGTGCCTTAAAATACATACGCGAAAACCAAGAGTTAACATGACTAGTAATGTTGAAGAAAACAAGGCTCGGTAGGAAGAGAAGTTCTGAATGCATGATATTGCCGTCTTTGATCACCTACCACGCTAGGGCTAGGCGAGGAGGAGCGACAGGTCCAGTACCAATTTCCCAATCCTGAAGGGGTGAGAGGCTTGATGAGTACGGAGCGGAATCCAACTAGCCCCATGCTCGTGATGACCGACATCACCACCATTGTGCTATCCGCTCCAACGATAGAATGAAGCGTTAAGATTCCTAAACATGTAAAGATATGAGACAATCATAAATCTATATGATTCCTTCACGTGGAAAATCTTAGTCGTAAAGTAAGACCTCCGAAGGTAATAAAATTTAGTTTTACCTACTTTTATCGGTTTTACTGCTTATGAAATTTACGAATTTTCTCACTTAGTCAAAAAACACCATAATTCAAAAAACCGACTTTCTATGAACCTCGGCATAAATCGCTGATATGTCCATTTATTTGATTTCACAAACTGATCTTTTTGTGCTCATGCGAGGTTGGCGTACGTTTTCGTTGTCGTTGTTGTTGTGGCCGTCGTCGTTGTCGATGTTGTTAGTGCTGTTGGTCGATGGCTGACGTTTCGGCGATTTCGCCTTCCTTAAGCCTGGACGTATTTTATTTAACAGTAGTCTTGTTTTCGGTGAAATACTTATAGTATTAATGAAGACTAAACTTTCAACTAAACGCCATATTGATCAAAAAGGCTACTCACCGTTCTGTTGTGAGTGGGACTGCCCGCGTGTTGTTCACGTGAGACGGATAGCGAGATTCACCCATGGATCAAAAAATCATTTTAAAATAAGTCGTCAGAACATGTGTGCTAGTGATGCAATCGTCTTTTCAGTTCATCTCTAGATTTTTGAAATTTATCCAAAACGCCTCAGGAGCTTTGCGTGTTGATGTTTCGAATCCTGTCCTAGGATCCGAACAGTCACTTCAAAATTATCGCATTGACAGCGACGGCAACAACAGCAACAACGAAATCATACCAACCTCGCATCAGCTCAACAAGATCGGTTCATAAGATCATATAAATAAACTTATAATATAACTTCAATGATTTTTCTGTCCCATATACCCAGAAATAATGGTCTACAGATCTGCATTATTTAGAACTAGCTAAGAGACACGCGAAAGGAAGAACCCTCATGGTGTGATGGTAAACGCGTTAGCCATCGGAATGGGTAATAGTGCATAACTACCGGGGTGATCAATCCCGTTGACGAGTGATTGTTGATGGCAAAAGATCGATAGAACTAGCTGAGAGGCAGCAAAACGAAGGACCCGGATGGTATGGTGGTGAAGTGCGCTGCTCCCCGGTAAGGACAACAGCGGGTGTTCGTTCCCCACCGCATACACCTGCAGTCAGGAATTTTGCAAATATCTCAGCATCATTAAAGTTGTATTTTACAATGCATACCCTACCGTTAAAAAGAATAGGCAGTAAATAATACGTTAAACTTGTAACAGTTTAAGATTGGAATGATATACAATCGAAGGGCCTTTCTCTGCTCTTTTGTTTATTATTCAAACCACAATAAACACTCAAACGAGTAGCGTTTAGAAAAAAGATTCTTTCAGGTATGAAAAACTTTTGGAAGAACAGGTAACCATAAAAAATCTACTGGAGAACCCTGAAAGATACTACGACTGGCGAGTTCGTCCGAATGGTCGTCTTGGGAATTTCGATAACGATTATCCTGAGCCGATTTTCATTACTGTTAACATGTACTTGAGGTACGTTCAGGTTTAAGCACATGTAAAGCCAACAACGCCCATATTTTTTCTGTAAGGACGTTTCGTACCCACAGGTACTGCTAAGCTTACCTCCAATGTTCTGATCTAACAAGTAGGTAAAAAAATGCGTTAACCTACGAAATGTTTTCAGAAGCATATCGAAGATTGACGATGTCAATATGGAGTATTCGTTGCATTTCACATTTCGTGAAGAATGGATCGACGAACGACTCTATTTCAATAGTCCAACACTGAAGCACATTATACTTTCACCTGGCCAAAGAATCTGGGTTCGCGTTTTTTCCGGCTTATCCTTAGTGCGGATGTAACAAGCGCAGTGGTTAGCGATGCTGCACAATACACCCAAGGTTCCTCTTTCTTCAAATGAACTTCCAGCGAAGCAATTTGCTCTCTTGAATTCGTAAAGTTAGTGCCAAACTTTTGTGCGAAAACCTTCCCCTGATCCACAAAAGCTGGTTACTGTCTGGTGACGAAGACGTGGGAACGCTCTAGCACACATATTACAGAATTCTGAGCAGAATCAACTCGCTGAGACCAAGTATTTAGTGAAACAGGTAGCACAACGAATTTGTAGCGACTTAGAAAATAAATATGCACGTTTCATAAAAGGAATCTAAATAAGTGGGAAGAGTTCTATAAAGATGCGCATTTTTTACCAACCGTAGCGACGCAGAATTTTTCACAGTCTTAAGCAAATAAGTGTTTTATGTCAAAAGTGCTTTAGGTTCCAGACACATTCTTCCAAAATGAAAAATACGGAAAAAAACATGATATCGATACACCCAACATCTTGATCCGAGTTCATAACGGCACTGGACGAATACTATATTCATGCCGATTAACTCTAACTCTCAGCTGTCCAATGAGGTAAGTGCCGGTTTTTATTGATACTGTTCATCCGTATGCCCTTACTCACTTCTTAAACTCTACTTTTCCGATCCTCTTAACACATGCATTGGAAACATGAACGTTGCTCAAGCGGTATGAAAGAGCATTCAGCGGAATGTAGCCGAAAAAATAGATCCGATGCAACTGGAAAAAAAATCTGAAAGCAACCTACGTCGACGAATAAAGATCACAAGCGTCGCTACCAATGTTGGAAAGCAGATGGTCTATAGACATCATGTGTCTTAACGGCAACCGCTGGACATTAGCCGTTAGCTATTGTTTAAGGGTTGTTGAGCTCATACTAGGAAGAGCATCAAAAAGATGATAAGAGTTCTTCACGAAAATCCTGGAAGATTACAGAAATAAATGAAGAAGTAGAGATTTCTGTAGCGCCCGCACAAATCATTTGATGATCAGGGAAGAGATAATGACACCAATGAGTCGTTCTTGTCATCTGGTATTCTATGAATGATTCTGTACCTGGAGCATGTCGAATAAATATCTGAAATCATCATGATAAATTTGCCCAGTGGATTCCAACTCACCATGAGGAAAATGAGTAGTCACACAATTTTTAAAGTGACATTTACAGGTGTTTCTTTTCGTTGTGCATTTAGTATCCCATGGGTCTCAACCTTTAGAGGTTACGGTTCCCTGTCCGCGCACACTGTTCTTAATTCATCTGATTTATTCTTCGCATGTCAATGTGATTTCCCATCCATTCCTAATCGTCGATTTCGTGCTCACATCACAGAACGAGATTCTCTATTTTCATTCTATCTTTTCTATATACAACGTCGCACTTCTGCACCAGTTGCTTGATATCGTATTGGAGAACGCTAACCCCTTTACCCACATAGCTTATTTGGCATGTTGAAGAAAATTGCTTCATTAAACGTGAACGAGTCCGCTTCAAATGAATAGGACTTTCTTTAGTTTCAGTTTAAACCAGTTTTTCCATACTCGTCAAAGTCGGTCAGCACTGGTTTCATCTGGTTAATGCATGGCATGTTGAAGAAATTTGCTTCATTAAACGTGAACGAGTCCGCTTCAAATGAATAGGACTTTCTTTAGTTTCAGTCGAAACCAGTTTTTCCATACTCGTCGAAGTCGGTCAACACTGGTTTCATCTGGTTACTCATGCAGCGCCTTATGAAAACGATGCCACATTGCGCATCAAATATGGTGTAGCTGCCAGTCAATAATTTTCACAACGTGTTTTGGTGTCGAGTTCTTGCATGACGTTCTAAAAATTGGTTGTAGACGGTTTTGAAGATACGATGTCGCCTTCTCGAATCCCTCCCTTTACGTTGATCATGATTGTACAATGACGAAATTTCGAAATTTCGGTAATGAAGTTAATGTGTAGTTGAAGTGAGCTTTCTGTACAATGAATAATAAATTCCCTGAGGTTCCTCATGATCGTTTCGGTCTCAACTGTATAAAGACAGACTTTGAGAAAATGAACGGTTGACGCAGCAGCTTGTTACATCCTATGTGATACTTCAATGACTTTCCAATTCTGCGGAGCCGTAAGCGTCTGAGGTGGTGATCGAACCCGCTATTACTCTTTTCGGGCGCTAACGTGATCACCACCACTCCATGCGGGTCCTTCGTTTGGCCTTTCCGTCAGCCATTCTTTTTACACCAGCGGTACCATAAGGAGTTATCGGTCAACGGGCATGATTTGAAAAACACAAATCGGTGTTAAACCCAGTTAGACTGAAGCAGTAGTCGAAACCACAATGTATAACTTTTTTATATACTGCCCTTTATTTTTTCAGAAAGCAGGGTATTGTATGAAATATAACCACATCGACGTTGCCTTCGCTTCGCCTTTCTTTCAGCCGGGAGCCGCATGGTGTGGTGGTGAGCACGTTAGCTCCCGGGAAAGGTAATATCGGGTTCCACCCTCACCGCAGACACTTCCGGTCGAAAGTTTTGCAAATATTTCTGCATCACTGTGGCTGTACGTGGCATAATACTCTTCCGAAAAAAATGGTGGACAGAAGATCAAAAAGTTACGCATATATGGGGATGTTTCAAAAATCGACTTCTCATCAAGCCTTGTATGGTTAATCAACATATGTCCTTTTATTGATAAACTAACAGAAGATTGATACAGCAAATTTATTCGGCAACGTTTCGATATCTTTATCCTCTTCAGAGCCGAAGAATGTCAAAGTCGGTTAGCCATACTACCTAAAACTATAGACAATCGACTTGGATTAATCTGGCTCTGACAAAGACGTGGGGGCCGAAACGTTAGCATAATGTTTTTTAACAGCCTCATTTTAGCGTATTAATGAAAGAATACATGCATGGAAATAATTCAAAATAGTCCTCTTAAACCTCACCTGCTTGTTTGGGCATCGTGCGAAGATACTCCTATAAAACTGCTGAGGATGACGAGGCTGGAGTTTATTGACAACAAATCCATTCCTTGAGTTGAGCCGAACACTGCTGAACGTGCTTCTTGAAGAGTTAAAAGCAGAACAGATAACACATTGCAAAAATTCACAATCACTTTTCGTAGAAAATCCTAAGACCTTCTTCCTTTTAACCTCTGCATTGATCAGTAAATGACTGTTTTATTTATGAGCAAGCATGAGGGGTTGTTATTGCAGTATTTATTAAATCACAACAGCTGACGTTTTGGAGGTTGCGCCCTCTTCCTAGTCGTTCTATTGTTTTCAAGCTTTCCACTTATTTGGTAGAGACCAGCCAAATAGCCTTACATGGGTGGGAAATCCTCATGACACGAACTATTACTTCAGCCAGTTGATAGTTAACGTATTTTGATAGTTAGTTGCCGCTTCGTATTCACATGCTGACATATCAAATAAAATTTCAAAGATAGACTACCGTCCTTTTTTGTTCCGATAATGGCGGCCTTTAAGGCGACATCGATATGCACAACTTTCCACTGACAACTATGTAGTCAATATTCTTATGATACTCAAGAAGGAAGGGTTCACACCGGCAACGAGGAAGGCTAATGGAATTATAAGTCACCATGGATAGTCGTGGTGGTGGACCCAAGAAAACCTCTCCATTGTTTTTTCCATATAATATCAACTCGTGAATCTAATCTGATGTTCTCTTTTTTCCGACACTCACATTCGATTGAAAACAATCTTGCCGTTATACTTTACAGTTGAGGTGTGTGAATTTGTTAGCTTTGATGACCATGGTTATCTTCTTTTCCTTCTTTCTAGATCTCTCACATGATATCCGCGTAGTCTTTTATTCCCCATTAATATTATTGTCACTGAAAAGGCGAGGTTAACATTACTTCTCTACAAAGTACTGATAGTAGCTCGCTTAACACAGCGAGCAGATGTGCCTTACCCACAAAACATAGTTGGCCGTTGGCTCACTCCCTCGTCCCGGGTTCACCAATGCTTCTATCTCTTCGCGGTCGACAAAATGGTATCAGACTCGTTTGGAGCAGTACTGACTTGATACAGCGGACGAATACCGAGAGTTCTTGTGCAGACTAAACATGCATTCAATTACCTCTAGCAGTGAAGTTGGATTCATGACGCATTACTCAGAGATTGATGAACACCGAGAGCTTTGTTTTCACCCTTACAGTACTGATCAAGTAATAAATAATCTTAAATAATCTAAATAATAGTAATAGAATCTTAACTCTTCTATTTACTGCCTTTTTCTTCTTAATGGCAGGTTGTGTTTCGAATTATAACTCGTATGAAATGCTGAAATATTTGTGTAGTGTAGTGATGACCCGTATGGTGCAGTGGTGAAGTGCGCTGCTCCCCGGTAAGGACAACAGCGCGTGTTCGTTCCCCACTGCATACACCTGTGGTCCGGAGTTTCGCAAATATCTCAGCATTTCATACGAAAAGTAATAGACTTGCTACATCGTAGTTATCGTATCTTATATAGAATGAATATGATGACGTTACCGAAAGACTTTCTATCAGACTGGCCGACTATCCTCTCGATGTGCAGATATGTGTGGTTGATTTCGCTTCCTATGCGTACACTACAAAAGATATAAGTTAGTTTTTTTTTAATATGTCTGATTTTTAATTGTTATTTCTACGTTTGCTCTTTTTAACTGCTGTGCTTGCATCCCTATTTTCTCAATTTCTCACAAAAAGCCTTTACTGTGTAACATCGATCAGATTAATTGCGCAACCACATAGATTTTCCTCATTGAGATTTTGCTGTGGTGATAACCGACTTAGGTTCCTGCTTGAAGCAATCGACCAATTCAAAAATCACTGCCCGAGATGTGATAAGTTTCGCTTAATTCTAGTAAAATATCTGATTACTTTCTTTAAGCCTATGGATGGAAAGAAGAGAAACCGATACAGATTAAAGACGGTCTGCGCAAATCATTACCATCTTTCCTGCTCAGTAATGTTAGAACAGGCAACTGCACATCGGTTACGAATACAGGTAATTTGTTAAATTTGCATAATGAACAGATTTGTGTGACGCTAGTCCGTAATCCATACAAATGTAGACGTATTCTTAAGATTTGTTTTGTTTCATCTCCTACCAACTTCGTAGCATGGCAACGCAGTTCGTTGACTTCCTGAAAATATCTACTTAATTATCCATCGAATAGCGCTCTCATTAGGTTACTTAGAACAGCCAGTGATTCTATGCCATCTTCAGGGTTGATAGGACTATCTTAAAACATTTATTTGATTTCTATGCTGAGATATCTCTTTTTATAGTAATTATTGTCCTGTTCCAGCGAAATAATTATGTATTAAAAGGCTTACATTGTTTTGTCTACTTTTCCCGGGTCACAACTCAAGCACGATAGCATTCGTTATTTTCTAGTAATGCTTAGTTTATTTCATTGAAAAGATGGTTACTGGTCCATTTCTATTCGTTTTGATCTGGCTATCATTGCCCGTGCAAATGGCCTCCTTCAGCGATGGAGACGTCAAGAAACATCGTTTTATGGTTCACTCGTGTTCATCCTCACGCAGTTTACGGATTACAAACCCGTTCGTCAATTACGCTGCTGTTCCTATAGAACACTTCCACTATCTTGGCATCCTCCACCTCCCTTTTCTCCATTCATCAACCAGTTCCGTATCATGGCCAATACGTCTGTTTCGTTCCAGAAGGCGTCGATTAACCGCAATATGAATATGCACAAAATTATCGAAGCAGCTGAGTATTAGCTAGTTTCATAGTCGTAATAGAATCTTCACAGAAGTGCAGAGTCGAATAGGTACAGGATGCAAAAATAGAAATTTGTTTGCTGGCTGGTCGGTTAATTCTTTGAAGATCTAGAACTGTGAAAACTTCACCACTCCACCCGATATTTTTCTTTCAACTAATTATTATATTCATCGCCCAGTGTGTGAGTTGGGGTTTGTTAATCAATGAGTCTCCGGATTTTGCCTATGCCCGCTATGGATTTTTGGTTGTTTTCTCAGTTTCCGTATTCTTGTGTTTTCCATTTTACCAGTCTTGTTGGGCTCTTTGAGCATAGTCCGAAATGCGGCAGGGTCATCTCTATGAAACATTGCAAAGCACGTCCAACAACAGAATTAGACCATAAATATGAAAATCCCTCAACTCCACATTCTCAACCAGGACGACACTACGTGGCTACAACGTCGCTATTGGATTTTCGGAATGCTTCTGATTGGGTACCCGGAAGTGCATCCGCTATTGTGACTCTGAGCTGTGAGAGCGCTAGAGGTGTTGCTGTCAAGAACACAGACACAGTTTTTTAAGCAGTCGTTTAAAAAGCAGCAGCTGTCATCCAATTATTTTTGCGACATGTCTATTATAGAGAAATGTATTCGTGTAAAAATTCGCCACACATAGGTTATTGCTTTTCTGTGGATAAATGACAGGAATTCCTCTCCAACTTGTTCTAACGGATGCCATGATCTATTTCTAAATCATAGTTGGAATAGTTTTTTGCACGGCGTCCTAGTGCAATTGCCTTGCTTAGAAAAGGGCGCAGCTCTTGGAGTTGATCAATCTAGGAGGAGTGCGCCATGCATTCGATTCCAGCCGTAGTATCCTGGAAGTGATTTAATTCATATTTGGCTAGTATTAGCTGTACATCACTAAGCACGGAGACATGCAAGAGGCCAAACAAGTTGATCGGGTCAATTTGTGAGTTATGTTGAAAAAAAGGTTTCGACGGCATCCGATCCGAGATTTTCTTCGCAATGATTACACTACCGTGTGACAGAGAATATAGCAAAGGATGACTTTAGCAGAATTTTTATGTACTCCTGAGACATCCGCAAAAGGCCTTCCTAGGGAGAGGGTACCACTCCAGATACATAAACTCCACCGTCACCGCGATAAAAATCTTCCACTACCACCTATCTTGAGTGACAATATCGCAGAAACTAGAATCTCCTTATTGTGGTGAACCAGTACACCAAGCAGAGACAAAGAAGAAAAGGTAATAAAATTTGCTGACTATGGAATATGAAACCTGTGAAATTGTTAAACATATCAATTATATAGGAATCACCAAACGTTTTGATTGAAAAGGTACAGTTCATCAAGATTTGCAGGTGTATACTCCTGTCTACGTACTATAATTGAGCTCAAGAGAGAATTCAGTTACTATTTACTACAACTCTATATCCCATCTTTCATGCTAGTCGCCGTTTCATGGGTTTCATTCTGGTAAGTGGACCAAATGGTGTGATGGATAATTGTTTCCCTAAAAACTACTTGTCAGTGAAATTCTACAACAAACTCGATTTAGCTGTACAAAGTAGACTCATTTAACAAATAACCAATTTCTCCCTGCAGAGTCATCAATCCCATCTAGGTTGGACAAGGATTCAGTGCCTGCACGCGTGACTCTGGGAGTAACCACCCTTCTCACCATGACGACCCAAGCATCTGGTGTTAACGCAAATCTTCCACCAGTCAGCTACACTAAAGCCATTGATATCTGGATTGGAGTATGCTTAGGTAAATGTTGATGGTTATCAGACTACCTATGTTTTGTCCTTCATTTGTGTGAAAAGTTCGAATACCCTCTCTAATGTGGGTGTATCATCACGGCCGTTCTTTTCCAGTACGTTACATGGAATGAATGAACTTTAAGGCGTGAATTATTTTCTACAAAAATCCTACGGCAAACTGCAGCTGTCATAATAAGTAATATTTAGAAGAAAAAACGATTAAATATGTAGGGCATTGTGGGGGACGGTACTAGTAGTGGAAAATCCAAATTTCTTCTAAAATTTCCTCGTGCGTGTTATTTCACAAAGAGAAGCTCTTGACTTTACTTCATTGCCATAGAAAGAAGCGAGATGTATTTCCCAAATCCGGTGTTTAGTAATGAAGCAGTGAACACCACTTTGTTTCTGCGTCCATTTAAACAAAACTACATTCATCAAGACATAATCATTTTTTAGCGTTTATTTTTGGCGCTCTTCTTGAATTTGCATTAGTGAACTGGGCTGCTCGAAAGGATGTCGTTATGTTCCATAGAAAACGCCAAAATCTTTTATTATTCAAGTGAGTGGTCGTAATTATTTAGACATCTGTTAACCATCATTTGTATACTTGTTTAATCATTCACTAATGTTAGCAAAATTTGCTTTACTAATTAGATAAACCTAACCGTCCTGCCAATGAACATAGAAGGAAACAGATTTTACAATGTAGTTTCCATCTGAAATGATCTTTTGTCTCGACTGCAGTATTGTTCGTTTTATATATATATATATATAATATATATATATATATATAACATACAGAATGTACAGAACGACGTACAGAACATATATATATATATATATATATATATATATATATATATATATATGTTCTGTACGCCAAACAGTCAAAGATAAGGTGGGCGGGACACGTAATGCGTATGAATGACAACCGATAGATAGATATATGCATACAAAGGCGCGTGTGGCGCAGTGGTCGGAGGCGCCGTGCAACTCACATATGGAATCGATCCCAGCGCCCTTGCCCACCAGGCCTTCCATTTTTCCGAGGTTGGCAAATTAGTGCAACAGTTGTCTGGGACGATAGCAGCACTGGTTGGACACAATGGTAGGCTACAGCGACTTATTGTAAAGGCTGGATATGCATTCATTCACCTCCAAACATGCTTAATGAAGTCGAATGCATTGCGCATCCCTCAGAGATTTACCAACCCCGAGAGCTTTATTCTTTTATCCTTTACATATGCAAATATATCACCTGTATCACCTGTAGCTCAGTTGATCGTCAAGTGACTCGGACGGGCGCCAGTAAATCTTCCATTTTTCTCTGTCTCGTGCAAGAGTAGCCCAATGGGTTCTACTCGCTCTAGGGACTCGTTGAACATCATATCCTTTTTCTAGGCTCTTCGTTAAGGACTCTGACCCTCAGGTCGATGGTCTTCTTGCAGTGCGTTTAACATCCCGAAAAATTCAGTCACTCTAACGGCTCTTGTCCATCGGTTGTCATTTATACGCATTACGTGCCCGGCTCACCTTATCTTCGACTGTTTGGCGTAGAGAACGGCATCTTTGATTTTTGATCGTTGACGCAGCTCGGAGTTTTGGATCCCATCCCTTACTTGTGTGAAACGGGATACTCCTAGCATCGTCCTTTCGACTGCGGGTTCGATAACGCTGAGTAATCTTCCACCCTGCTTACGCTGTGACCAGGTTTCTGACGCATACGTTAGCGCAGGAAGCACCGTTGAGTCGAGAAGGTGGGCACGGAGTCGGGTGTTCTTTGTCCACTTCACTACATTCTCGATGCTCTTGAAAGCTCCCCAAGCTGCTCGTTTCCTTCTGCTCTGCTCTGGAGCTAGGTCGTCCTTCATATTGATTTCCCAAGCTAAATAGATATAACTGGCACATGCAGAGGTATTCGTTCCGTTGAGCATGAATGGGGCATGCGAAACCAATCCGTTCCTCAAGAACATCGTTTTTGTGAGATTTAGGCGAAGACCAATATTTCTACAAGCTTTATCAAAGTCGTCAAGCATACGTTAGGCTTGGCTAATGTTTGGTGTTGTAAGGACGATGTCATCAGTGAAGCGAAAATGGTGTAACTGCCGACCATCAATTTTCGCTGCCTTGTTATCCCATTCCAATGTTCGCATGACATTCTGGAGTGTAGCGGTAAATAATTTTGGCGAGATGGTATCGCCTTGCCTAACTCCTCCAATGACATCAATGTTGATATCGCTGTAGAATGGTGATACCTTGGTTGTGAAATTTTTGTACAGCTCACGGAGCATCTTTATGTGCTAGTAGGGACTCCTTGACTATCAAGGGCTTTCCAGATTGCTTCCATCTCAACTGAATCAAAGGCTTTCTGTAAATGGATGAAAGTGAGGCAGAGCGGTCCTTTGTACTCTCGCGATACTTCAACAAGCCTTGTTACCGCGTGGATGTGGTTCACCATACTAAATCCTCAATCCTGTTTAGGATGACTCGAGTGAAAATTTTGTAGACGACAGACAGTAAGCGGATTGCGCGATAGTTGCCGATATCATGTAGGTCACCCTTCTTAAATAATAACACGGTCTTGCTGGTCTTCCACTGAACAGGGACCTTGCATTCAGACAGGTAACGTGTGATGCCAAGCTGGTGTGTTTGCCAGGACTAGCAGAAGGTTTTTCAGGTGTTCTGGTCTTATCCTGCCCGGACCTGGTGCTGTTCGATTTTTCACCCACAAAATAGCATGTCGGATTTCGGAAGGGAGAACTGGTGGTACAACGTATCCATCTTCCTTTATTTCGTATGACGGAAAGTGGACGTAGCTATCCACGCGATCTGACTATTAATCGTAAATGGTTACCTCCATTGCCTTTCTGGGCGCTGTTTGGACACCGGAGCGCAGTCATTTTGGTTTTGTAATCGGCGAAGCTTTGGTGGGCTTTGCGAATGCTTTTCTCAGCCTCTCCAGCCTCGACTATTACCGCTGCTCTTCTCTCCTTAAGATCTTTTTTTATGGCCTCTCTGCATTGTTTTGCATGTTCGGACGTTAGTTCGCGGTTGCGTGCATCTCGTACGATTCCACGCTGTCGCATCAGCTCGAGTGTTGTTTCGAACCCTCAGCTTTCATAGCGATAACGTGAATATGTTGACTGAGCCGATCGCATTCCTCGTCGACGTTATCGACAACGGCATCTTCTCAACGGGCGACTAATGAATTGAATAAGTCCCAGTTTGCGGTGGTTCTGGGACTTCGGTTTTGCAATTTAGTTGCTTTTTCTATTTTCCGTATGAAATAGAATCTTGCACTAGGGAGACGATGGTCTGATCCCGTGTAGAATTTTAGAGCAACAGCGACATCGGTTAGGCAAAACCTTCTATTTACTGTGATGTGGCCTATTTCGTTGGTACTCTGCACTGGGAAACTCCCACGTCGAGCGCTGAGGGTGGGGCTTCTGGGATTGCGAGACAACATGGATTTTCCTGGTCGCCGTGGTAAACGCAGATAGCCGCTCACCTTGTTCGTTCCATTCTAATCCATGGGTCCCAAGCAATGTGACGTTCTTCAGACGTTCTTCTTGGTCCCATCTTGGCATTGAAATCTCCAATGATGACTTTGAAGAATGAATAGTCTTCTCTGTAGAACTTATCCAAGTCCATATAGAACCCTTCGACTTCTCCTTCGTCATACTTTGATGTCAGCGCGTAAACGACGAAGTTTGTCAAAGCCAATAGTAATCCACGTCTTTTTAATCGTAAACGTCCGTTTCGGCTTGTTAGTTGTTCGAATGAATAAATGTTCATGGTAAACTCTTGTTGACGAGAACGCCGACGCCGCCGACTCCTCTACTGTCGCATGCTCCGAGGAACAGTTCTTCTCCGGTGTCATAGACGGCGTTGAAAAGATGGCGTCTCCTCGTCTTGACCAGGACAATGACGTCGTACCTTATCCTTCTTGCTTGCACGAGCAAGTCTTCTATCGAGGACTCGGATGCAAGTGTACGTGCGTTGTAGGTACAGATCCTCACCTTAGTTTTTCGTGATCCAGGGAGTTTTCATTGGTCCTGAAATTTTGGCAGCTTCTCTGTACTCGTGCTAACCAACGCTACAAAATTGGGAGCTCTTTTGTGGTCAGGGGAATGAAGCCCGTTTTTTTTTACCGTGTTTAGCATTTTTGATAGCTAGGTATAGCTTGCTGGGCTCTCAATGTGGGAGCTGGGTATACCTACGGGTAGTCTGCCAGACTGTCCTAGAGTGGACAAGGAGCTTCCTTGTTGGAGGCGACTCCTAACCGCCTCCCATATACTTCCCTCTCAGTTGATTGCAGGCTTTTGGCCGAATTGACTCATACGAGACAATCCGCATAAGCAAGAACCCACCCACACACGTATGCATGAATACAAGTAGCAAATACAGAAGGTATGTGCCAAATGAGCACAGCGAAAATACGTACTCCATCCCCTGGATCCACCTGCACCTCTGGAAAGCAAAAGTCGCTTCTGCTCCTCCATTAAACCCCTATCCGCCACCTCGGGACGCGCCACGTAGCCTCGCGACTAGCCGGCTCGAGATCCCTCATATGAGAGAGATCCGTGGTGCTAAAAATATACTTTAAAATACAAATATACAAAATATGACATAATGTAAGGTGAGCATAACATAGAAATGGACCAAATAATAAATAAATACAAACACAGTATGTATTTACAATGTCTGTACAACACGTACAAAAAAATCAACGACAACTGTGCTAATGTTCACTTTCACATTTTATACAAGCAGTCTTCTATGCGCAATAAATTGTGAGTGAGTTCTTTTCGTAAGGGTTACAATACGTAAACTTTTAGAAATCATGGAGTGTCAGAAGCAGGAGACATCACAATTTTTTCCAACGCTGAACCAGAGGTTGTGCTTTTACCCTGTGTTGCTTTCTGATTTTAGAGTAAAAAAAACCCAGTAGGTTTTCTTCTATTATCGCTCTAGAATACAATACCTTGCAGGTTATCGTGGAAGAGAGGTATTACAATTGGTGGGACAAGATGTGGAAAGTCAAGTACAAGGCAAGTACATTTGTTGAGTTAGTTGATGAAGTCTAATAAAAATAGGTAAGACACGTCAGCAAATCATAGATTATCTATGTGCACCTATATTGAATGAAATAGAGTTACCCTGTTGTCCTATTGATCGACAACTGGCTCGAACGGTCACCAGTAACTTCCCATTTCTCCCTGTCTCGTGCAAAAGTAGCCCAGTGGGCTCCACCTGCTCTAGGGACTCATTGAGCATTATGTCTTTATTCTAGGGTTTTCGTGAAAAACTCTAGCCATCGAGTCCTTGGTCTTCTTCCTGTATGTTTGACATTCCGAGGGATCTGGTCGCTTACGGCTCTTGTCCATTGGTTGTAATCCATGAGAATTACGCATCCAGCCCACCTTATCCGCGACAATTTGGGGTGTAGAGGGTGTCTTCGAATTTCGGTCGTTGACATATGTGGGAGCTTTGGATTCCCTCTCTGCCTTTCGTGATGTGGGATACTAATACCGTTGTTCTGTCGACTTTTCGTGCTATAACGCTGGGTGTTCCTTAAACTTTTCTCCGATGCGGCCTGGTTGCTCATGTGTGCGGTAAGTCACAAAGAATCGTGGAGTCGAAAATGTGGGCACAGAATCAGGCGGTCTTTGTTTTCTTCAGTGCATTCCCGATGCTTTTGAAAGCTTCCTAAGCCGTTTCCTTCCTACTGCTCAACTCTCAGCTAAGTCGTTCATCATGTCCATTTCTCGACATAGATTGGCGTAGGTATAGGTACACTTGTATACACTCATTCCACTAAGCGAGAATGTGGCATGCGAAACCAATCCGCCCTTGTGAACATAGGTTTTGTCAGATTTAACCGAACACTAATCTTTCGAAAAGTTTCGAAACCGACTTTGCTTGAACCTCGGTATCAATAATCAATATGTATTCTTTCTTTGATGAGCTGACACGAGGTTGATAATGATATTTATTCATTTTCGGCTAACGTTTCGACGTCTTCGTCTTCCTCAGAGCCGATGATCCGAGTCGATGGTCCATGCTGGTTCGTCTCGACGTTGCAGCTTCGCCTTCGTGTCCAGTCAAGTCTTCCTCAGTGAGCCATCTTCTCGAATGAGGCATCCTCACTCAGTGATGCCCTTTCATATACGATGCTGATGGTTCGAAAGGTGTTATCAAAGTCGGCAAGGAATCGTTCAGCATGGCTAATGCTTGTTGTTAAAAGAACGATCACATCAGCAAAGCGAAGGTGGTGTAATTGCCGAACGTGTTCTTGAAAACTGCATTTGTTGGACTTTGAAGAAGATGCGGAAGTGTTAGCTGGATAAAACCTAGAAAAGAACCTCGTGTGAACATTCTAAAGAAGTATAATGATTGTTCAAACTGAGGTTAAGTGAAAGTCGGTTTGTAAAATTTCTCACGCCATTTTACTTCCTTTTACTTTCTTTACACATTACTCCAAAATGAAATAATATTTACCATTAATAAAGGGTCTGGCCTTATTTAATCACCTACTATGCATTCGACTTCATCATGCATCGTAGAAGTTACTGCATGCCCAATTGTCCTTTACTAGGACTTGCGGTGGTCTGCCGATGTTTCGATGCTAATATCCTTCTCTGGTATCCATTTTCCGACCTCGAAGAGAAGGAAGATTGGGTAAGGACGCAACGCGGAATTGAACCAACGACTATGTGTGTATTGCAGAGCACCTCTTGCCATTGCGCTACGTACGCCTCTAAACATCTGTCCAGTTATTGTTTATTATTTAGTACATGACCTAACATCATATTTGTAACACTGCGGGATCCCAGCACTGCTTTCATTCCACTTGGACTTTGAACTTTTGCGTATAACTTCGGTTGCCGCTTGAGGATTTTTTCGTTTTCGTCACAAATTTCGGTGAATGATAATTGAGTCACTTCTCCCTGGCTACTCGAGATAGACGTACTAGAGCGTTCTCACGTGGATTAGAGAGAATGAACTTCTTTAAATAAGTGTTATTTGGAAGGAACTTCCCGATCCCTTAGTGGAGGAGAGGTTTGGTGTTTCCTGGTGAGGAGTTGAAAGGCGCGTGAATATGGTCTACCGTCTGCGTATTTAACAGCGTCATTATCACCGTGTTATCTACTCACTATTTATCACTAATAGCTCGATGACTCACTGGTGAAAAATTGCGTGAACAAATCTGTTTTATAATGGCCAGTTTTTGCTGGTCTTCTCCATGGCAAGTTAAACGACTCGTTCTATCAGTAATAAGCTTAATAAATAGCCAATAAAATTCGAAAAAATGATTGATGAGTAGCAACCATTTCAGGAACACAGCCGAAGGATAGACCTCATTTCGCGTATTGTGTTCCCTTTGTGTTTTCTGATTTTCAACGCTACGGTAACAAATGTCTTTTATACATTTTCTGATATACACCTATTTTCTAGTTTTATTTCTCAAAACTTTTCAAACATCAAAAAATAAAACAACCGAAAACTAAGCAGAGTTTACTATATTCACCCTGTGCCTAGCCAACTTATATAGGCGCACTTTTCAAACTCAGGATTCCCTCCAGTAAGAGGTTCCAAAGCCGATAGGTACTAATGCTACGTGGATTATGTAGCTTAGGGGGTTTGGTAGCTCACGGCGAACCAAACCCGTTATATATTGCTCTCAGAAGTGGGTAGACTCATTCCATTATTCTCATAATTGTTTCACTAAATTCACACATGCCTCCCACATATACGATATCATATCAATACAGGCGTTTGTACGTGCATCTGGATTTTATCCAGCCTCCCGATTAGGTCAAAACTCGACAATCAAGTGCACTGAACGCAAACAAGAGATGACTACTAGTCTTTTTTAATGAATGACATTCACGTCTACAATGGAAGAAAACGATTAGTACATGCAGCCTGTGAAAGAAAGCCTTGCCAATAAATCGTAGGAAACCTCATTCTCATTACACGGAAAAGGATCCTATATAGCCACGTTGGGAATAAAGAGCACAGCAGGGTTTTCAGTTCTTTCATTCTGTAGGTCACTGAAGCTTATATAGAACAAGAAATGCTATGGAAAGTCATGTTCACACGGTACCGAAAATGTCCATTGAGGAGGTGATAACATCGTTCGTCTCAACATGGGTTTCGCATTGAGCGTCAACTTCTTCGATTAGAATAAGATTGCTGAGACGACGAAAACCAATGTTAACTTTGACAACTTTCTTTATAAAACTACTGTAGAACCGATAAATCTATATGGATCCATAAAAGTTCTGCAATTAATAACTTCATACCCTCCCAAGAACATGATCGAGTTCTACATCAAGACGCAAAAATTAAAATGGAACGAATCTAAGATGTTTATTATGATAAGCGAGACCACTCGTGATAACCTAGAATTCCAGAACCCCTCCTTTTAAAGTCGTAGATGGATGTGTATTTCGCCGTTTTCTTGCAACCATTGGTGTCTAAAGGGGGGCCAGGTTTCTGCTCAGGGTTGGCTGCGATCCGCGAATTTAATAGCCAACTCCAGCTTCGAGTACAACAGTGTTAACAAATACACGAGTGCATCATTTTCTAAATTTCCATCGAGGTCCTTTGGGAACTTCCCAAATTCATTCCCAATGTTTTTCATGTTGTCCTGTCTTAAATCCTCTTTATATCGTGAGCGATCCGTTAGCATTTTTGCTCGAGACATATTCCTCTTGGTTTATAGAACGGTAACTTCTTTGGAAATCCGGAAAAGGTTGGTCAGATTGGTGTTAAATGTCTTGATTCATTTTATCACATAAATGCTTTCTGTATTGCACGCAGATTTGTCGAGGTGGAAGAAGCTCAGCGTGTTTCCGCTACACAACATTACTGACTACTGCAGTCATCAGTCATGAAAACGGTTTTATGATGAACGGTCTATTTGGATACTTATGAAAATATACTTGTTGCTCCTTTTGTGAAGGGCTGATGAGCAATGTAATTCATTGACTAGATGTCCGCTGCATCGCTTTGTGACATATGCATTAGAAGTAGGGAGTCTGAATGCTGCTTACTAGTTTATACTTAAATTGGCCAAAATACTCCTCAATGTAGAAGTTCTGTCAGGCTTCAACGTTTCGTTACGCTCAAGCTTCCTGACGGCGCTGTTCCAGTGAAGACGAACTTTGTTTGAAAATTGTAAAGATATACTACAAAAACAGTTTAATCGACATCCATTGTTTGACGACAAGAGGTTTTTACATTCTGTTTTGTCAGAAGAATGTACTGCATACAATTCTTTCAGTACTGGTGGCGATATCTGACACCCTATATGGCTGTGCAAGCGAGAATGGATTAGATTTGGATTGACGTACAACGTTCGACTTTATTAAGCCCATCTCCTGCCAGGTGTATGTTTGATAATTAACACCAGTAACGTTATTTTTATAATTGTTTTCAATATCAACTGTTAAATGGGTTAACCTCTTCTTGAGCATTCGTATTGTGTCATAAATATTATGGGTAGTTGGGAAAACATTCTGTTGCTCCTTTTCTTCCTATAATTCGATGTACACCTCATTAGCTAAAGTTTTTCATTCCACGAAAAGAAAGCAAAATAAAAATAGCACTGTGAACTACGTGAGCGGTATCACGTCATTGTTTTCGTTAGGCACCGTAAGAGACCATTCAGCCGTATTACCCATCCCTGAGGTCTCTATCAATCAATAGACATTTTATGCACAGTAACACATAAAATGTCTGGATAAATGAACTTATAGCAACGCTGACATCAACTCGAGGAATAAGTGATAATGAGTACTATATTCTATTAGAACTGTAGTTTTCGAAAATAATAGATACCAAGAAAGATAGAATGGCGAATTCATTGAGACATTTGCTATTCTGTATAGGTCCCAATTCATCTACCATTCATTAATTTTCTCCTAGTGTGATCCATAACACTTATTACTGCCTGCATAAATTCATATGAAATATATGTACGTTTCTGAATCAAATAGTTCATCAATGTATAAGACAGCTTGATTCAATTGATTAACGGTTCAGAGAAATTGGGAAAAA